TTCCCCTTGAAGATTCTTCAATCAGGCTTGGACTGGCCTTTGTAGGTGTGGCTCCCTCCGAGTTGGCAAAGCTCTACCCTTCCGGTACGTCTCCTCTCCCCTTTGATTCGAAGTTCCCTCTTATTTTAAAGAAAGGGAAAAAAGTAAAACCTTCCTTCAGTATAAAGAATTGGCCACCATATCATTCCTCTTGGTCGTCCTGGGTGAATCGTCTTTCCAAAGATGAAAAGATTTCATCACAGTGGAAAAAACAAGGAATCTTTGATATTATCCAGATCAACAAGGCCTCCATTACACTTGACCCAAACCTTCTCTTTCCAGCCCTTTTTTCTGGTCTTCAACCACAACTGCCCTTCATTCGAGATGTGGAATGATGTCCCCAACCTTAAGGGATATTTGTTGCATTATTGGCCTCAAACCTCATGGAGATGATGTTAGTGCCACTCTCTATTTCGAAAAATTCTCTTTTCCCACCAAAAGCACTGGTAGCAAGAAATTTGTCTCATCTTACATTCCTTTCATCAAACACTATAAAAGAAGTGGGCCAGTCGAAGAGGACGAGCACATAGCTTTCCTAATCTGTTGGCTTTCTAGCTATTTGTTATGTGTTCCATCCGAGCAAGTTACCAAGGACTTTGTTCAAGTTGCCATATCTTTGGCCAGGAATGGAGATTTAGCATTGGCTCCCCTCGTACTCTCTCATCTGTACAGAGGTTTGAATGACCTCCTTACCTCTAAATTTTCAAGGTTTCAAGGCCTTTTTTAGTTGTTCTAAATGTAGCTTAAGGTGTATTTCCAAGACAACTTCTCCTCTTGCCATGCAAACTGGAAAAACCCTTTTATGTTATCCCTTAGCTACAGCAGCCCCTTCCTCTTTCAGCTTTATTGAAAACTTTGAGTATTTTTACAACCAATGTGAAGTGGGAGATGACAAATTCTTCGACCCTTTTACTTTCCTTGGTCACATGCCATCGTGGCTAGTCCCTTCTCCAGGGGTTTCCACCAAAAAGCATTCTGGAGAATGGAAAAATATCTGGGCGAGTTTTCTACTTGCTCGAGATCTTCATTACAGTACTCCCAACCCTACTCTCAGGAACAACTTTTGTGGCATAGAATTCTACAATCCAGCTCAACTAGCTCGGCAAATGGGATTCACCCAACTCATTCCCTTACCGCCATACGAATCTCAGAACAGATACTTTGATCAAAGAGTGAGGATCACAGATGTTGCCAAATTTGCTGCGATTGATAAAGCTTATGAAGTAGAAATGTCAGCTTTCAACTTTCAAGGCCATACTAACAAGCCTCAATCTTCTAATGAATTTACCGTATGGTGGACGACCTACATTTCTTCCACTCGGACAAAAAATCACAAGGCCGTTTGTGACAGTATTTTAGCCTCCTTCAAACCCTTATCTCCAGGTAACATGTACTTTTAATGAGCTTTGCCTTCCTTCTTTTCTGTTCCCTTTCCCTATGCTAAGGATTTAACTTAAAATTCCTCAGATGGAGAAGAAGAAATTCTAGAGGAAAGTGATGAAGAAGAAAGTAAAGAGAAGAACACAGTTTTGCCCACCAAAGTTGAAGGTATGGCTGAAAGTGGTAATGTGAGTCACGAACTTATCTCTTCCAGTAACGAAGAAGAAGAAGAAGAAGAAGTTGAGGAAAAGGAAGAAGAAGATGCCTTGTATAAGGCAAAAGGGAAAGAAAAGATATCTCAGGTACTTCCAACAAAACCAGACTTAACTTTTCCAACTTTAGATTCTTCTAATATCTCCTTTTGTAGGGACTGGCCATTGTAAAGAAAGAGTTTCAACCCCAGTTTTCTTCCTCTGATGAAGATTCCTCCAATGAAGATGGTATTTCCAAAGGGCAAACCCATACTCAGCATTCTGTCAAAACAATCACCAAGCGAAGTCCCACTGGAAAAGTTACTGGAAAGGCAAAAAGGAAAATTGACTTGGAAAAAGCCGGGGAGTTCAAACAGCCAAAAGACTCTCCAAAAATAAAAAAGTTAAAACCAACCAAAGAAATTGTTTTGGTAAGTCTCATTTGTTATCTCCTTCATCATTTTAAATTTCTAAAGTATCCATAATTCCTTTTAATACTCATCTTGTAGGGCTCTTCCAAGATCCAGTCAGATGTGCAAGTTGCTCATGGAGAAGACTTAGACCTTCAAGCCTCTATTATGGAAACTTTGGTAGACCAAAGTGGAAAATCTCTGCCCATTCCAACTCCCACTATTGGAACATCCATTCCTTCCGGCACTGGTGGAACTTCTACAGGCCCTCCTCCTTCCATCCCAGAGGCAAGTCTTTACACTTTTAAACTTCGTCTCCTTTCTTACTTCTTATGTAATAAGCAAGACCTTTCTTTCCTTCAGGCTATTCCATCTTTGTCCACATCGACCTCTTTCACAATGCATAGAGTAGCTCTTCCAGCGTTGGCCGATCTATACAAAGTGATCAAAGCCACTCAATCTTCAAGCACCTCAACTTCGACTGCCAACGTGCCTGTACTTTCAAATACCTCAGAAGACCCTCTTAGCGCAGCCAAAAGAAAATTGTTGTCCTACCTTGCTTATGATGTGGAAAAAATTGTGACTTTCCATCATGATTTGGCTGGTACTATAGTTACCCTGAAGAAACACCTTGGATTTCCTGATTACATTCAGACTGCTTTGACCAAACTGCAACATCAACTTCAATTTCTCGTTTCCCATGTGAATTCCAATTCTTCCTCTATCTCAGAATATGAAAGAAAAGCTAGACTTAGGGATAAAGCCTTTGAAAGCTTTCATATTGCTTTAGCACCCTATCCGGAGATTAAGACATGAGCTGAGGAACTTGCAACCAAGAGAAACACCTTGACTGAAGAGCTAAACAAAATTCCTAAAGAACTAGAACAAGTGGAACATGATGAGCTGGAACTGGATCAAAATGTTAGTGCTATTCTTACTGAATCTGAGCCTCATAGGAAAGAATGGGAAATTCTAGAAAATGAACTTCCCCAACTTGAAGAGACAAAAAACAAAGCACTGGCTACTCTGGAAGAAGCAAGAAAAATTTGGATGGCACTTGGGAATGTCCTTCTTGCCATTTGATGGAGTTTTCTTATGATGTTTTAAGTGGTTACTATGTAGTGAATAAGTAAGCTCTTCCTGGAATCTTTTGTACGGCCAGCTCTTAGAGTTAGAGGCCATTTTGGAATATGTAATGGAATTATGGATCTAATGAGAATGGTGGTTATTTCTCAACTCTTTTTGGTTGTGTGCCTTTTACATAGAAAATCATTGAAAACTGGAAACAAATCCTTTCCATATATTAACAACGATGCTGTCACTAAGTGACTTTCCAAAACAAAGGAATTCAGAAGAAATAAAAGAACTTGCAAACATGGAAACAACATGTATATACAACAATGTCAATTATTTTCCAAGATAGGTAAAACTTGGACCATGAGATGCAGCTTCTTTCTCAATGAAAAAAGAAACTCTATACTTGGAAAATCATCTGTTCTTGGAAATGTTTAACTGAAAATTCTCCAAGGCCCTAGCCAATGTACCCTTTCAAGTACTTAGCTTTTCTTCTTTAAGTGATTCCCTTTATACATTCTGACTTAGCTATATAAATGGCCAAAGTATGGCCATTGAGATTCCTTTCCAGCTTTCCAGCTTACTTGGAAAGGAGGGTACCGGCCAGACTACGTGGCTGGTTGAATGATTGTAGATTTCCAGCTTTCGTAGATAGAAGGATGATACTCTTTCAAGTACACACCATTCACAGGATGCTTGTGGGATTCTTTATCTATGTTCATTAATCTATAAGCCCCTTTTCCAAGGACTCGTTCCTCCAAGTAAGGACCCTTCCAATTTGGGGTCCACTTTCTATATTCCTTATCTTTGACTCCCGGTGGAAATCTGACTTGCCATACCAGGTCTCCTTCAACAAATATTTTTGCTTTAACCTTCTTGTTGTACGCCCGCATAACTTTTTTCTTTTGAGCAATAATATGGTCCAAGGCATTAAGATGGACTTCATTAAGGTCTTCCAATTCCACCAACATGGCATGGTTATAATCTGCCGGAGTAAGCTTCTTTTGGAAAGCCACTCTTGCAGATCTTATGGTCATTTCCATTAGAAGAACGACATCATGTCCATATGTGTGCATATATGGTGTGATGCCAGTACTTGATCTTTTTGAATTCTTATAAGCCCAAGAGCCTCAGAAAGTAAGTGATGTCACTCCCTTGGATGATTCTTAATCATCTTTTCAAGGATATTGAGAATTACTTTATTGGAAGCCTCAGTCTCTCTATTTGATTGGGCGAAATATGGAGTGGAATTGATCACTTAGACGCCACACTCAGTATAATAATCAAGAACTTTATTTCCAACAAAGGAAAGTCCTCTGTTAGTGGTGATAGTCTCTGGAATTCCAAACCTATGAATAATGTGCTTCCTGATAAAATCAATCACTGTTGGCTGCTCACAGGTCTTTAATGGAATAGCTTCCCCCCATTTTGTAAAATAGTCCGTTGCTACCACAATATGAGTATGTCCATCTGCAAATGGTGGTGTTAACTTTTCAATAAAGTCCAAAGCCTATCCTCTGAATGGCCATATTTTTACTACTGGTTGCATGTTAATAGCTGGAACTCTTTGGACTGGGCCATATTCTTGACATGCAGTACAAGTCTTTGCAAACTCTATGGAATCCTTTAGTATACCCTTCCAATAGTGACCATACCTTCTCAAAAGCCACCTCATTTTAATCCCAACTTGATGTGCTCCGCATATTCTAAGGTGTGATTCTGCCATCACTCTCATGGACTCACTCTTACCAAGACATCTTAGCAAAAGCCCATCTTTTTTACTTTTGATCTCCATCGATCAAGATATAATAAGGTGCCAAAAGTTGAATTCTTTTGTCCACGTTGGTACTCGGCTCTTGCAAAAAATAGATGATTGGTGTTCTCTAATCTTTTAAGTCTAAGCCATCTATATCAACATTGAAAATTCCCATATTTTCTTGGCAGGCTTGATCCTTTCTAGCTCATCAGCTGGGAAGTGACCTGCCATCTCATACCGTGACTCTATAGAAGGGATAGTCTTTCTTTTGATTGTGATCAAAGTTTCTTCTACACCCGGTGGGACTTTCACTCTGGAAGCCAACTGTGCTAAATCATCAACCTCTGTATTCAAATGTCTTGGCCAATATTTGAGTTGGAAGTCATCAAACTGGCAAAGTAATTCCAAGGCCAAAGAATGGAAAGGCCTCAAATGCCAATTAAGACACTTATATTCTTCAGAAAGTTGGCTGAGTATCAAATTTGAATTTCCAATAATCTGGACCTTCTCCACTTTTAGCTCCAATAGGATTTCCAGCCCAATAATTAGCGCCTCATACTCAGCTTGGTTATTTGTACACTTGAAATCCAAGAAGAAAGAAAATGTGGTTTTTTTCCCCTTTGGTGAAATTATGACTATTCCAGCCCCTCCTCCATCATGAGTGCTCGATCCATCAAACATGAGAGTCCAAGGTGTATAATCAAGGTAGAGATTATCCACCTCATCACATATTTCTGAATCAATCTTGGTGGAAGGATAGTCCGCTAGAAATTCTGCCACCACCCTTCCGTTGACTGCTTTTTGTGGAATATACTTAAAAGAAAACTCCATTAAGGCCAATGACCACTTTCCAATACTTCCAGTGATTAAAGGCCTTGATAGCATATACTTGATCAAATCTGTTTGAGAAATGATATATACGGCCACCGACAACATATATGTTTTTAACTTCATAGCCGCATAGTATAAGGAAAGGCACAACTTTTCAATGAAAGTATACCTACATTCCATTGGAGTGAGCACCCTACTTAGATAATAAATGGCTTGCTCCTTTCCCCATTCATTATTTTGAGCTAGAAGAGTTCTAATAGATTCATCAGCGGCCGATAAGTATAATCTTAGAGGCCGCTTCTTAATTGGAGGCATCATCATTGGAGGGTTGGCCAAGTAGCTTTCAAACCTTCAAAGGCTTGCTGGTGCTATTCTGTCCACTTAAACTCCTCAGCACCTTTCAGTTTCAACAATGGGGAGAAAGCATGAGTCTTTCCAGCATGGTTGGCAATGAATCTCCTCAAATATCCAACCTGGCTAAGAAACCTTTGTAGTTCTTTCTTAGTGGCCGGTGGCTTTGCTTCAATAATTGCCTTTGCTTTATTTTGGTCTACTTCAATACCTCTTTGATGGACTAGAAAACCCAGGAAGTTTCCAGCTGAAACCCCAAAGGCACACTTCAGAGGATTCATCTTTAACTTGTGCTGCCTCATTCTTTCAAAAGCCATCTTTAAGTTATGGAGATGTTGAGCCTTGATCGAGGATTTGATGACTACATCATCAATGTAGACTTCCAAGAAAAGGCCAATCATGTCATGGAAAATGGCATTCATGGCCCTTTGATATGTTGCTCCGGCATTCTTCAATCCAAATGGCATGACAACCCATTCAAAAGTTCCAATGGATCCTAGACATCTAAAAGCCGTCTTGGCAATGTCTTCTTCCGCAATATAAATCTGGTTATACCCGGAATGCCCATCCATGAAAGAAAGAATTTCATTCTTGGCAGCAGAATCTACTAATTGGTCAGCAATAGGCATGGGGTATTCATCTTTTGGAGTTACAAGATTGATATTCCGGAAATCCACACATACCCTTAGTTTGCCATTTTTCTTAACAACTAGAACTATGTTAGAAATCCAGTCTACATACCTGGTGGTTCTTATAAAACCAGCCTTGTGTAACCTTTCTATCTCTTCTTTGACCGTTAGAACCACTTCTTGGGACATCCTTCTTAGAAGCTGCTTGAAAGGCTTGAAACCTTCCTTGATTGGCAGCTTATATTCTACCAACTCTCTGGAAAGTCCAGGCATTTCCTCATACGTCCATGCAAAGCAATCTTTGTACTCATGAAGTAAGGAAATTAATTCTTCTCTAAAAGTTGGTTCTAGAAGCTTACTAATGTAGGTAGGCCGAGGATTTTGCTCCTTTCCAAGGTTAACTTCCAAAAGTGGATCTTGCATTTTGGCCTTAAGATCATCAAGCTTTACTGGTGCTGCCTTCAAGTCTGTTAGTTGGATAGCATCCAACTTGTCTTCAGTATCTTCTAAAATCTCTAAAACATTGGTTGAAAATGAAGTACCATCGACAACAGCCCTTTTCAGCCGTAGTTCGGCTAGATACGCTTTCAACCTGGTAAGGAAGCAATTAATTGCCTGGCCAAGCACTCTATTTTCTTTAGGTTTCTCTTCCATAAAAACTTTTGTTTGAAATGTAGTGCTAAACACCGGCTTTAGGTAGAATTGTTGGCCTTAGTGTTTCTTGGAAAAGCTCCCTTACATCTTCTTCCATAAGAGTTCTTCTCATGGTGGCCTTCCTTAGACGGCCCTTGCTATCCTTTCCAATAAATCTGATTAGAATGAATTCTTCACTATACAACTTAGCATCTGCATGGTAAACCCTTGCCACAAATGGCCGGCTATCAACTTCCACCACTTTTACCTCATCGCCATCCCAGAATATTAACATTTGATGAAGTGAAGATGGAATGCAAAAATTTGGGTGAATCCATTCGCGGCCCAAGAGCAAATTATAAGCCGCTGTAGACTCAATAACAAAGAAGGCTATGATGGAAGTTCTATCTCCCACCGTTAATTCCAACGGTAGGATCCCTTGCATCTTTATTATTCTTCCCGTGAATCCACTAATGGATACATCAGTTGGAATGATATCTTTAGGAGACTTTCCAAGCTTATGCATAACATTGACTGCAACAACATTCAATAGCGAACCATTGTCCACCAGAACTCTTGCCAAGGGCCTTCCTTCCATTAGTACCTTGACATACAAAGGTTTGAGCTGCTGATTCATACCATACGGCGGCTTTTCCAACACAATTTTCTTTGGCCTCGTAGGGCTGTTCTCTTCAATCACAGCCCCCTTTAATTTCTGGAGATGCTTAGCTTCATCCTCAAAAACTTCTTCTATATGAATACCATTATTTGGTTCTATAATGGTTAGCCCAGAACTAGGCTGTCCAAGGCTTTCCATGGGAGGACTTGTATCTACCACATCTCCTTCCATTGAATTGGGCTGATTTGGCTGTGGCTCAAAAAATAAGGGAAGAACCACTACCATATTGCAAGTAAATTCACCTGGAAGGCTCCCAAAATAGATTTTCTTGCTGCTGCTAGAACTGTTGGGAATTTCCAAATCTGTTTTATCTTTTGTAGGAGGATTATCTATAGTCAAGGAATTTCTAACCTCTGAAACCAGATCCAATAAATCATCAGGATCTACAACCCCTCATTTAGCTGGAAGTTCAGACAAGTTTGATAGCTTAGTAGTCTTCTTTGACCAATTAGTCCAACCATGGTCTTTCTCCCATAATTTCCTTCTATCAGCCCTCTTCCTTTGTTGCCTTCGCTTTTGTGTGCGGGTCATATAAGAGTCATCATGATTGGGAAACTTGGGATGATCAAGCCTTCTCCACCCCTCATCTTGCGAGGTAGGAGGTTTAACCATTCTTAGTTGGAAATGCTCACTCCCCCTTCTAACCCATACTTCCGAGGCCATTTTTGGCCTGGAATGCCTGTCACCTTCAAAACCTCTGTCTTGCCATTTACTACTTTCAAACTTTCTGCTAGGACGAGGCCCTACCTGATAGGAAATTCTATTCCTTTCTATACACCTTGGAAGGAATTCTGGTTTCCTTGTTGATGGCCTTCTTTCTGTATAGACCCGGCTTTCCTTCTCTAGAATGGTTACAATAACTGTGTTTTCCACCTTTTGGAAAGTCAGCCAATCATAGACCTTCCTTTTTTGGCCTCAATCATCTTTGAACAGCTTCTCCTTTAGAACATCTCTATGACAGCCTTCATTTTGAATTTTACACTTGGGGCAACAACCTTGCTGGATTAAGGCTAACTGAGCCTCACGGAGTTGCTTTTCTAACTCGGCTACTGTTTTCTCCAAGGATACTGCAGTTTCAGGACTTTCAAGTTTTCCACTAGCTCTTGAATCTGCCAAGTCCACCTTCTTCTTAGGGTGTTCCGCGACAAGGGAAGTAACATTCGTAGCAACAACCTTGGGGAAAGGATTTTCATTAACACCCATGACTTCTATTTTTTCTGGAAACTTCAACCTTCCATCTTCAATCGCCTTTTGCACTATATTATGGAAAATCACACAATTATTAGTGGAATGCCTCCATGAATTGTGAAATATACAATACTCTTTCTCGGCCATTTCTGAGGCCGATGGCATCTTGTGGCCTGTTGTGAAAATCAGTTGCTTGTCAGCCATGAGCAAATAAAAAATTTGCTCGGCTTTAGAGATGTCAAAAGAATAACTCTTAGAAGGGTCTGCTCCCTTCCACTTGGAACCAGAAGCAGCCTGCAAGTTGGCCGTGGCTGATTTCAATTTTGTCAAGGCCTCACAAGTATAAGCCTTTTTTATGTTGAGCTCAGTTACATTTACTTCAAACTCCCCTTTAGTTTCAGTGGTATATACCTCATAATTAGGATCACGATAGTAAGTGCCCTTGGAAGAGCTCTTCCGGTCTTGCTCCTCACGAAGGAGCTCTTCATACTTAGACACTCTACCGGCCAAGTCAAATAAGTCATGAAATTATACACCTTCAAACTTCTTGCGAAGTTTAAATTCTAGGCCGTTCACAGCCATCTTCATATATTCTTCTGGCGGCAAAGACAAATTGAACTTGGCCCACCTGAATCTAGAAAGGAAACTTATCACAGACTCTCCAGGTAGTTGATGAAGTTTGGAAAGGTCTGCCATGGACACTTCAAGCTTAGCTCTATAGAACCGAGTATGGAATAAATCCTCAAATTGCTGCCAACTTTGAATAGAGTTGGCTGGTAAGTTGGAATACCACCTGAAAACATATCCAGTCAGTGTGTTTAGAAACAAACGTACTTTCTGCCATGGATTGGCTGCTGCTTCTCAACATTGGACAGTGAATCGACTGATATGTTCCAAGGTAGACTGTTCGCCCTCTCCATTGAACATTGCAAACTCTGGAATTCTGAAATTCCTTAGAAATTTAACTTCATCAGTGAACTCTGGATAGGGTTTTCTGTAAGTTGGCCTTCCACCCCTTTGAGTTAGGCCAAATTCCTGTTGAAAGAATTCTGCAAATTGGCCTCTATCAAGCGTCATAGGCTGTGGAGGGTTGTTGTTTGGCCAACCTTGAGGTTGATTGGACACTTGATGGGTTGGCATCTGCATAGTTATTTCTGCTACGGTTCCTTCCTCCTTGGTCAAGAAGTGGCTCCCTTGGAAAATGTTGCCCCCCAACCGCCATAGGAATGACCATAGGTGGCCTTGCTGGAATAGGTGTGGCTGGCTGAATGTTCATAGGTGGAACATTCTGTTATGTTGGAGGGTTGTGGTATGGCATGGTCGGCTAGGTTGATCATGCCAAGTCTATTGTGGAAATGCCACAGGTGGAAGATTATGAACTTACTGGATGGTTGGCATGGGCGCAGCTTGTGGAACAGTCATCTGTGCCATTGGAGCAGTCACAGGTGCAGTTGGAGTATAAGTCTGTGCCATTGGAAGAGACTGCACTTGCTGCTGAGTTGGAGGGAATGGCCCTGCATGTTGCTGAGAGGAACTTCCTTCAACAAACGTGGCAGGCCTGCTTGCTTGGAAGGCCGACTGTTGAGACCCTTCAGACTTGTTTAGCCAAGAGGCCAAACCTTGGTTTGAGCTTCCAAAGGTCCATTCCAACATAGACTCGAACCTTTGAGAGATTCGGCCTACCAATTCTTCAAACATCCGGTCTTGAGAAAGAACAATTTTAGATTGGTCTTGAGCAACTGTGGCTAAGTCTTGAGCGACTTTAGCATGGTTTTGTGCAAACTTATCTTGCTACATTGCCATCATGCGGATGTTGTCTATGATGGGTCCATTTG